TGCAGTATTATCCACAGAGCTGAGGAGAGGCTGGTGAGGTGGTTTGGACATTTGGAGGGTGTATAAATCTGTAGTAGAGGGAAGGCAGGGTAGGGGAAGCCCTTGGAAAGGTTGGAAAGAAGGGTCTTGGACATCCATCTGGCATGTGTGAGCATGTTAGACAGAAGTGAGTAAAGGCAAGTGTTTTTTATAACTTGACATGCTGTTGGAGTGTGAGCAAGGTAATATTCATGAAATGATTCAGGGAAACCAGTTAGCTGGACTTGAGTTCTGGAGGTGGGAAGTACAGTGCCTACACACTGAAGGAGGGGTGGGGATATCTGTGGTTTTGAACTCTTGCATCAGTGCTCCTCTGGCCAGACAGTCATGGAATGAGTGATGGTGGAAGTGTTTCTTCTTTTTTTGGTCACCCTACCTTGGTGGAAGATGGCTAGTGTGGAGATGGGAAGTACAATGCCTGTGCTTTCAAGAAGGGGTTTGGGATATTGGCTGTTGGGAGTGACACCTGAACTGTCGTATCTGGGCACCTCTGCAAAGACAGTGATTATTTTTGAAAGATGGTGAAAGTGTTTCTTTTTTAAGTAACTGCTTTGGTGGGAGATGGCTGACATGTTGGAAAAAAAGCACGCATACACACACATGAAGAGAGAGAGAGAGAGAGAACCTCTGTATTCAGATGCACCTTTATTCGTAAGATCCAGTATTCAGAAAAAAAAAAATTTGAGAAAAAAAAGTATCAATATTTGCAAATGTCACTATATTTAGAACGATGCATGCTTTTTGAGCTCTTTTGATTCAGTTGTTAATAATTTTGTGTTATGTTTATTTTATTATTGAAAGTAAGTGATCATGGACCCGAATAAGATTAGTGAAGAAAAAACCCAAAAGGAAAGCTGTAAGAACCACCATTGAACTAAAAAAAGGAACTTATTTCAAAACACGAAAATGGAATACGTCTTGTTGACCTAGCCAAGGAATATGGCTTGTCAACATAAAAAATAAAGGTGCAATAAAAAGTGCTAATGTGGCAACAGGAGTTAACCCTTAAACTGTCCAAACGCAGATCTATGTTCACTCACATGGCGCTCTGAATATTTTAAAAAACAACATTTTTTTTTTTTTCTTTTAAAATGAAGAGCACATTTTTCTACATGTTATAAGATAAAAAAAATTTAGGGTCTTTACTTACCGAGATGTAAAGCCGTGAAATTGGCTCTGGATGCTCACCTAACGGCAACATCAACTTTTGCCGCTTGCAGGAGTGTTGCCAATACAGTGGACCCCCGGTTAACGATTTTAATCCGTGCAAGAGGGCTCATCGTTATGCGAAATAATCGTTATGCGAATGAATTTTCCCCATAAGAAATAATGGAAATAAAATTAATCCGTGCAAGACGCCCAAAAGTATGAAAAAAAATTTTTTTTACCACATGAAATGTTAATTTTAATACACACAAACTGAAAAAGGCATGCACAATTACATGACACTTACTTTTATTGAAGATCTGGTGATGATTGATGGGATGGGAGGAGGGGAGAGCATTATCTTCTTACTGTTTAGAAGGGGAATCCCCTTCCATTACGACTTGAGGTAGCAAGTCCTTTTCCGGGGTTACTTCCCTTCTTCTTTTAATGCCACTAGGACCAGCTTGAGAGTCACTGGACCTCTGTCGCACAACAAATCTGTCCATAGAGCTCTGTACCTCCCGTTCCTTTACGATTTGTCTAAAATGGGCCACAACATTGTCATTGAAATAGTCACCAGCACGGCTTGCAACAGCTGTGTCAGGGTGATTTTCATCTATAAAGGTTTGCAGTTCAACCCACTGTGCACACATTTCCTTAATCTTTGAAGTAGGCACAATGGATTCCACAACTGGCATAGGCTTCTCAGGGTTAGCCCCAAACCTTCAAAATCTTTCTTAATTTCCATACTAATTCTCACCCTTTTTACCACGGGTTGGCACTAGAAGCTTTCTTGGGGCCCATGGTCACTTATTTTCCAGAAACAGCACCGAAAACACTGTAATAATACGAAATATTCCGAGTGTATGCTTGGATGTTACCGCGGAGGCTGGCTGGTAAACAATGGGACGGCCGGCACATGTGAGGCTGGCTGAGGGCACATTGGACGCGTCTCGGACGAAAATCGGTAAGCGGGTTTTTAATCGGTATGCGCGGCAAAAATTTTGCGATAAAAGTAATCGGTATGCGGAAAAATCGCTATGTGATGCCATCGTTATGCGGGGGTCCACTGTATACCTTTTTTTCTCGTTTTTATTTTAATTTATATATTTTTTATGTTCTGATAATTATAATTTATAATAGTTCTTGTAATTTCACAGCCAATCTTTGTTCTGACACTAATATTAGGTACTGAAATATTGCTCAAATAGTCATAATCACATTGACTGGTGAACATTTACACTTGCTTGGGTTATTTACTATTGTCTAGAAATATATACAAAGTTTTTATAGGTCCCAGCAATGTTTTAGATACCCTGGTATATGCCTTGAAGCATGTTGTTATGAAAGGCATCCCTATACTGTTGACAGCCCAGTGACATTTGATAAATACCCACTGCTCCAGCTAACCCTTTCTGTATTTGTTATCACTGTTACACACAAACATGTATTGTCTCTCTGTTTATCTGTCTGTCTATCTATGTTTTCCTGGAAATTTTGGGTTATCCTAGGTAATTTACACTATGTATAATTGTACTTATGTGTGCATGTGAGAAAGACACAGATAGACAGAGATATAAACAGATAGAGATATATATATATATAGAGAGAGAGAGAGCCAAAGCCAGCCAGCCTGCCAAATACATAAGAAAGAAGGAACACTGCAGCAGACCTTCTGGCCTATGAAAGGCGGGTTCATGTCTCCCCCCCTCCCCATCCTGGCTTAGACCAATGACCCACCTAGTCAGGTCACATCCACTTAAAGAAGGAGCATGACATCAGACTTAGTAGCACATGCTAGTCAGGTCCAACTCGCACCCACCCACACTCACTCATGTATTTAGCTAACCCTCACTGTATTTGTTATCACTGTTACACGCAAACATGTCTGTCTGTCTGTCTCTGCCTATCTGTCTTTCTGTCTGCCTGGAGTATAGTATATATCAAACTCCTTGAAGAATGGTATTATGACATCTGTTGACAGCTCAGTGACATTTGATAAATGGACGCTCGGGGAACCCTGGCTTTATTTGTTTTCACTGATACACACAAACATGTTTGTCTCTCTATCTGTCTGTCTATCTTTGCCTGGAATTTTTGGGTTATTCTAGGTAATTTACACTATGTATAATAACTGTACTTATGTGTGCATGTGAGACAGAGATATCGACAGACAGATATAGGTAGAGATAGAGATAAACGGAGATGTAGACAGAGAGACAGCCAGAGACAGCCAAAGCAAGCCAGCCAGCCAGCCTGCCGAATACATAAGAACATAAGAAAGAAGGAACACGGCAGCAGGTCTATTGGCCCATGCAAGGCAGGTCCACATCACCCTCCCACCTAGTTAAGTCACATCCACTGAAGGAAGGAGCATGACATCAGACCTAGTAGCACAAGCTAGTCAGGTCCAACTCACACCCACCCACCCACACTCACTCATGTATTTATCTAACCTATTTTTACTTTCCTCTTAAAACGGGAGTGTTAATGCGACATGGCATCAGTGAATCCCTGTGTTTGCCACGCTATTTGCTCTAACTGGCGCTCAATTGAACTTGTGCTCCCACATACTTAGGCGACTCAAGCCTATTGTGCCAAATTTGAAGGAATGAAAAATAAAATGCTTCTCTACATTTGGAGCGCTACGCATGCAAACGTAGATTTACGTTTGAATAGTTTAAGGGTTAAAATTCTTGCAGGGTTCATGTATGATTTCGTGCGTGTTCATGATGTTATTTTACAAGTTTAATTAACCAATATTCTGACTTGCAAATGGTTTGTGAAGAGTAACTTTCGGGGTCTGGAACGAATTAATCCAATTTACATTATTTCCTATGGAAAAAACGATTAAATATTCAAAAAATTCAGTATTCAGAATGCTCTCAAGACCCAGCTAATTCCAAATACAGAGGTTCTACTGTATTTGTATATATGTATGCATGTTTTGTATTTTACAATGAATAAGAATATTGACTGTAGATGAAGAAATGAAATATTAAAATATTTGGCAGCTCTATTATGTCTACTGTTTACATGCTTGTTTAAAGTAAGATGTTAATGGACTTATATTAATTCCAGTCAAATCTCTGTGCTTCAGCTGTTGCTTTAAGCTTCTTTATGAAGTACTGAACACTTTTTTTGTGCCTCAAATTTGCTATTATACTGTATGTACACATGTAGCTATATTTAGCTCATGTAAATGCTGCTTATTGTTCTAATTTTCCTAATTTGATGTTATAATTCACTACTATGTCTTCTTATTTAGATCTCATAACATATTTGAAATTTATTTTTGTGCAATGTAGATACTGTATATAGAAGTCACCTTTCTTATAAAGCTCCTCTGTATAATGATTTCTTGTTTATGCAATTGAAAAATGTGCATCCAAAATTGAATAGCATGTAGAAAGGCCTTTTTGGTATATCATTTCATTTGGAATGTACTTTTTCATTTTCATTTGCAAGAAATTGCATGATATAGAGGAACTTTCTGAGAGCTGACTGTATATTGAAAGCTATACTCTACATCTTCCCCAGTAATTATAAAATATATTTTGATTAATTTTCATATTTTAAAAATTTATAATTGCTGTAGTGTAAATTTTTTTTAAATACAGTAAATAATGACTAAAAGTCCTTCCAGTAAATTTAATGGTATGAAAATTTAGATGATAAACAATGATTTGAACTGTTTATTTTTTAGAATTTATGAAGCTTTTTAATGAGAAAGCATAATCTCCCAACTTTATAATGGTAAAGAGTACATACTCCATAATCATTAGTTTATATGTTTTATTATTTTGATGTGACAGAGGAAGTGTACCAGCAGTACCAATACAACGCCAGCATGCCTCCACCCTCCACTATGGATAAGCGTCACCCAGGTTTCCGTGAGGAGCTCGGCTACATTCCACCACCAAATCGTAAACTCCCACCTGTTCCAGGCTCACAGTATAACACTTGTGACCGCATAAAGCGAGGTATGGTGTTTTTCAACCATAAGTTGTTAATAATGTTTAGTAATAATAGTTTTTTCTTTCAGAATATTTAATTAATGCTCAAAGGAAGTATATGATTAGTGAATTGTGTATTTTATACCTATTCATTTGGTTGTCTAATGCATAATAATTATATTAAAAATTAATCGCTAATCTACGTAGGGCATACGACACTAACACACAGAATCGTAGAATAGGTATCTTCTTGAGCAACAGCTTAAGAATCAAATGTCAATCAAGTATTTGATGAAAGTGCTATTAGAACGGTGCTCCACTTAAGTGATGCAAATACATGTTTACCAAACTTAAGAAAATTTTCATATATTGTAAGTAAAATTAATGAAAAAACACTTTTTTTTTTATTTCCTGTAGATTTACTGTACAATACAAGCTCATGTCTCAAGCTTTGTAGATGTAGGTACAATAGGGCCCCAACTTGTGATATTGGCACTTTGAAGCCAATTAATTCCTTGTGAACAAACAGTGGGACTAACTTCGCTCATGGAAATATCACTTCCAGTTAGGAATACAGTATCCGTATTCAGTAAGGATGAAATACAGTGGAACTTCGGTTTTCGTCATTAATTCGTTCCAGAAAATCTGACGAAAACCGAATTCAACGAAAACTGAAGCAGTTTCCCATAAGAAATAATGTAAATCCAATTAATCCATTCCAGACACCCAAAAGTATTAACAAAAAATACATTTTATAGAGAATTACTATAGTTTTACACACCGAAAACAATGAGAAATAAATTAGACACGTACAACTCTTGGGTATCTTTATTGAGGAAACGTTTCGCCACACAGTGGCTTCATCAGTCCATACCAAGGAGAATCTTGAAGAACAGGAGGAGAATGAGGTAATCAGTCCCTCAACCTTGAGTTGATGTGGTCAGTCCATCAATCTTGAATAGAATACGGCATATGGGCGGAGAAGGAGCTTTTAAACCGTATGGCAGGAGAGGTGCAGCAGAGGTAGGTGGTGTCACATTTGTTCAATGTCAGACACTGCAACTTCTTGGGATCTTAATACTTGGGAATTCTTCGCTTGCCTAACCCTTGGGCACGACCTACTTCCACATTGAACAAATGTGACACCACCTACCTCTGCTGCACCTCTCCTGCCTACGGTTTATAAGCTCCTTCTCCGCCCATATGCCGTATTCTATTCAAGATTGATGGACTGACCACATCAACTCAAGGTTGAGGGGCTGATTACCTCATTCTCCTCCTGTTCTTCAAGATTCTCCTTGGTATGGACTGATGAAGCCACTGTGTGGCGAAACGTTTCCTCAATAAAGATACCCAAGAGTTGCACGTGTGTTTAATTTATCAACATGTCAGTTCTCTGAACCATTTATCTACAATGAGAAATAAATATAAAACACTAAGGAAATGGATAAATGAACATTTAACATCACTTTTACCTTTATTGAAAACTCTTGTTGGTGTATGGAAGACAGCGAAGAGGTTATCTCTACCACCATCACTACCACTACCACCATCACTGCCATCCTCTACCACCATCACTGCCATCCTCTACCACCATCACTGCCATCCTCTACCACCATCACTGCCATCCTCTACCACCATCACTGCCATCCTCTACCACCATCACTGCCATCCTCTACCACCATCACTGCCATCCTCTACCACCATCACTGCCATCCTCTGCCACCATCACTGCCATCCTCTACCACCATCACTACAATCCTCTACCACTATCAGTACCACCCTCTACCACAATCACTACTGTTTAATGGGTTTATTTGGTGATGCTGCAAGCGGGTGGTTAATGATATACTTCTTCGGAGGCTTTCTAGTTTATTGAAAGGTCGTGGTGGGTACACAGGCTTGTGTGTTGTGCCCATGGCCCAGGCAGGGCCATTTCCACGAGAGAGAGCTAGGAGTAGGCCTTGTGTCTTCCTGCTAGTCCGCTGTGTGAGTGAGAGTGAGGCAAGGGCAGGCAGGCTGCCGTGCCCACCGAGAGGCCTGGCTACAGAGGGCAGCATCTTAGTGGCGCAAAATATAAACTAAGCTGGCAGACAGCATGGGCTGTCTGTGCAGACAGTACAGGCTGTCTACATACGCTCAGCCACCTACCGTGCGTCGTCCCGACGCGACAGTACTGGTGGTAAAGAAACTCAGTCTCTCTCTTAGGAACAGGGCACAGAACACAAAATAAAAAACTTATATATACATATGGACATGGAAAAAAAAAACTTCCTACAGGGAGGGAAGAAAAAAACATGTGGGTGTGCTAAACATCGTGGTCATAGGCAGTGAGCGTCGAAGGGCATCACTGCACGCCTTCCTGCGTCTGGACAGATACTGCAACACAGGAGACATCTCTGCGGCTGAGCTGTGACGTAGCAGGGTACGGTCTCCTCTGGAACGGTGAAGCAGTCATCATAGGAGTCGCTGCAGGCTTTCACTCAACCTGGGGCACGACATGCTGGTGCCCTCGAGTGAGGCGTCGACAAAACTCGCAACTGGGCAGGACTTCTGGCAAGCGACTCAGGAGGACACTTCTCGACTGGTACTGTCGCTGGGCTGTCACTGCCGGCGAGCGTGGAGCGAGTTGTGGAGCGTCTTGGCATCAGACGAGGGCACCAGCATGTCGTGCCCCAGGTTGAGTGAAAACCTGCAGCGACTCCTACGATGACTGCTTCACCGTTCCAGAGGAGACGTACCCTCTACCACAATCACTACCATCGTCTACCACAATCACTACCACCCTCTACCACAATCACTACCACCCTCTACCACAACCTACACCTCTACCACAATCACTACCACCCTCTACCACAATCACTACCACAACCACTACCACCCTCTACCACAATCACTACCACCCTCTACCACAATCACTACCACCCTCTACCACAATCACTACCACCCTCTACCACAATCACTACCACCTTCTACCAATGAGAAACAAAGCCAGATTGACTCGGAATGCATGGGATGCTTTGTGTGGGTGTGGGCAGACACATTCGGTACGGTGGACCACTGTCAACTCGACAAAAACCGAGGTGAGGAACGAAAACTGGGACAAAATTTTGAAGATAAAAGTCGTCGAAAACAGAATTCGACAAAAACCAGGGCAAACGAAAACCAAGGTTCCACTGCATAAACATTTTACATTTTTTTACCAAATGCATAACATTTTATGTTGGTTAATTTTATGCATGTTTAGAGGGTTCATATTTGTTTGGTATAGATTGATCCAGAATTATAGATTTCTAAATAATGTTTTTGCTAAGGCTGAGTTATAAATATTTTTTCTCTTAGTTTTTATTTAATGTTCTTATAGTCTGTATATGTTCATTTTATGCATGTGTGGAAAGTTCATATTTGTTTGGTAAAGACTGGTCAAGAACTGCAGATTTAAAATTACTTTTGTTTATTGGGGTTAATGGATGGTTGCAGCTAATAAGTGGTTACTGATTGAGGTCCAGAGGCTCAGATTACCTTCCACCACCCTCTCTTCCCACTACATGACATGGATGTGCAAAATTCCTCCCTGCTGTCTTCTCATAGGCACCTGATACCCTCAACATAACATAAGCATTTGTAAAAGAGCACAGTTATATTGTATCCATTACAATAGATGCGAGTAGAAGTGGCTGTTGCTGCTGCTCCACCACCCTCCCTCTCCACTACAGGAGGGAAGAGAATGAGAGGGAATGGAGTAGATGGGAGGGAATGCGATTGGGATTAAGGGAAAGAAAGAAGTACTCATCTGAGTATAAACATTGCTTTTAATTTAATTAGGAAAAATTAAATAAGATATGAAACATTACGGTTGAAAACTGTATCTCCTAATTATAAAATGGGTGTCTGTGGGAAAACAGGTGCTGGGTTCCAAACTCCTGAGTAACTAACCGACTTCGGGGAGGATAAAAGTCATAATTTGGGGCCCTTTTTGTTTTTTTTTTATTTTTTCCCCTTCCAAAGAAACCCGAAGCAATAGTTTAAAAATTTACAGAAAAAATTTTTTCAATATATTTTTTTAAGTTTTATGGTTTTTGGGGATGTTCTCTCAAATCCCCCTCCCCTTTTTCTAAACCCCCCTCAACAAGTTTTATTTTTTAAGATGTATAGCCATACTGCAGGGAAAATGATGAGAGATCTATGTAGGTTTTCAAAAATTTACGAGGTTTTCTTTAAGGCAAGTGGCAAAGTACACTTTTTTTTGAAAACATTTTTTCATATATAAAAAAAAAGCTTGGTATTCAAGAAATGTTTTTTTAATTATTTTTCATGTTCCTTTGTAAAAAGTTTTTGGTTAAAAAAGCTTACGTGTGTCAGGATTTCTGTTTTCAAGTTTTTCTTTTTAAATTTTCATGTAGCTAAATTACATTTACTGTATTCGATACTATTGAATTTGAACAATGTTTTATTGTTTAAAAAACTTTGAAATTTTTTAAAAAGTTTTTTAATGCGGTATTTTTTTTTTAATGTTCTGCCAATCTCCCTCCTAAAAAAAAAAAGATAAGAATATTCAAAAATTTTGGGGGTTTCTTTTTCAAAAAAAATTAAAATTATTTTTTTAAACAAATTTTACAAGTAAATGCTAAATTTGTTTTTTAGAACCTGTTTTCTGGTATGAAATTCATGAGTTTTTTGGCCCCTGGCAAACTGTTTTTCTCCTAAATTTTGTATCTGTTTTGCATTTAAATTTTTTCTTTTGGGTTCTTGTGTTTTTGGGGTTTAAAATTTTGTTTATTTCATCATTTTTTTAAAAATACCCCCAAATGACTTTTAAATTTAAAATGAAATGGGGACATATAAAACATTGGCAAAAATTGGAACAGAAGTAAATTTTGTGTTTTCCTGAAAAATTTCTTGGTCTGTGCTTAAGGGAATTTTAGTTTGGGGTTTTTTTAAAAAGAGTTTGCTACCGATTTTGGAAACCATTCACCTTTTTGGGAAACCCCGGCCTTAAACATTCCCCCAAAGAAAGCTATTGTTTT